GAAATAAGGGCTTGGGAGAGACACCAGATGGAGAATAGGAGGGCCTAGGCCAGGCATGAATGAGTTGATGGCTGGGAACCATCTGAGCAAAAGGAAGTGCTGAGTCAGGAGCATGTGGCATGATGGAGGAGGAGGAACCAGGTTACTTAGTCTACACCCCAGAAATGCACAAGGAAGAAGCCACAGTGAGCTGGAAGCCAGGTCAACACTTAGGGGCAACCATATGGGCTTTAATTTTTACTCCCTATAAAGAGAAGGCTCTGTACAAGTTCTGAGCAGATAGATGCATCATCTGCCTTCAGACTGATGTGTGGAGGCTGGACAGGCAGAGTGGGGAAGCTATTGGAGGCCATGGCAAGTGACAAGTGATCATGATGGCCTGAACCAGTGGACAGCAGCGGAGGCAGCAAATGAGACGTGTCATGTAGGTGGGTCCTGAAGATGGAGCTAACCGGACTTGCTGACAGGTTGGCAGATATGAGAGAAAGGACAAAGCAAGGCTAGCCCAGAGAGTGAGTTCCTGTCCTCTATCCCTCATGCAGGAGAGATGAAAGAGGATCTGTCTCACTATCCCTTGACGGACACAGCTCAAGGCTGGGTATGTGAATACATACACCATAGCTGAATGCAGCCACCAACATCAGTGAACGCTTTGGGGAGATGCGCACAGTCAGCCCTCGCCAGCCAGAGTGAGTGGTGCCACTGAGCACAGCCTTTGGACAGCCCGGGGCCAGTTCTATGTCCTTCTTCCAGAAATCTCCAGCCACCCTGAAATTATGGGTTGCCATTTTACCTTGAGTCACAAACTAAGTTCCCAAGGACACCAAAGATCAACCCATTCATGTTTGCTTCACCAAAAAGTGAATGCAGGACCTACATTGGACAGCTCTTGGACAAAACCAAGCTTCATTTGGAGGAGATATTTAACCACACAAAGGGTAATAGTCATCTCAACATCTAGAATCATCTCCTCAAACACTCAGCACAACCTCACATTCACTTTATTTACTCACTAAGAGTAAATAAGACGAGCTAAGAGGATCTAAGAGGACTTTTACTCCAGGAACTGGTGTGGCTTCATGGTAGAGCACTTGCCTATCATGTGTGAGGTCCTGGGCTTGAGCCAGGGTACTAGAAAACAATTTATTTCTTTGTTGTACAATCCTTAAGCTAAATACTTTGTCCTGCAGCTGCCTATACAAATAATTCTACCTTTTAGAAGTAGAAAATAAAATTGAAATTATTAGGTCAGAATTTCCATTGTTTTCTCTTAATTGTTTAATAATAAATAGCTGTAATGTTAGTTAGAAGAAGAGTTTGGATAATAAGCAATTAAATAACAATAAAGAAGGAGGGAGGCTGAGAATGGTGGCTTTCATCTATAATCCCAGCTACTTGGGAGGCAGAGATTGGGAGAATTATGGTTTGAAGCCAGTGTAGGCGAGAAGTTCACAAGTACTCATGTCAACATCAAAGCTAGGTGTATACCTGTCATTCTAGCTACAAAGGAAGCATATAATAAGAGAATCATAGTCTAGGCTGTCCAGACACATCATCAGACCCTATTCTAAAAATGCTAAGGCAAAAAGGATTGGAGGTGTGGCTTAAGTGGTAGAGCATTTGCCTAGCAAGCATGAGGTCCTGAGTTCAAAGCCTTCTACTATGAGAAGAAAAAAAAAGAGGAAGGAAGACTACTGCATTTACACATGCACATATACTTTATTTGTAAATAGAGGGCTCAATACAGAAATGAGTTATAATCAAAACCATTTCAGTAGGCACAGGTAACAATTCTATTTATTCTGTCATTTGCTATCCTATCATTCTGAAGTCTTTATTACTTTAAAAATAGTCATCCCTATTAAGAAAGTATAAACTAACCAAGCCCTACTACATGCCAAGCACATTCTCTGTTTACTCCACTAAATTACTAGGTCTAGTCTTGATTTGCATCTTGTGGCATCTGCACACCTTCATCTCAATAGTATTGAAGAAATTGTGGGGGAAAGAACAACTGATTGGACATATACTATTTATATCTGTTCCTCCCCAAGTCTCATTAAAATGGCCACAAAGTTATTTTTGGTATAAACCCTTGTGATGGAGATCAAGGGAAAAGATAATAGAAGATAAGAGCGAGGGCTAGCACATGTGGGAAGGGAGAGCAGGTGGGAGAGTGGCTGGGCTGTTGAGCCCAGACTATGAGCTGCAACCCAGCTCCCTGCATGTGATCCTCTTTTGCTCACTGCAGAAGCCTGCAAGGTTGGGGATCTTTGAAGGCAGAAGCTGGCACAGCACTGGAGGGGGACCAGGCAGATGTCTGTGTGAAGAGCAGAAGGAGCAAGAAGTCCTTAGTCAGGAAACTGTGTCTCTGAGCTTTTTGATGTGGTTGATCTTGAAAAGCTCTGGTCCTACAGAGCTTACACCTATAATTCTAATTACTCAGGAGGCTGAGATCTGAGTATCATAGTTCAAAGCCAACCTGTGCAGAAAAAATCCATGAGACTCTGATCTCCAATTCACCACTAAAAAGCCACAAGTGGAGGTGCGGGTCAAGTGGTAGAGTGCCAGCTTCAAATGAAAAAGCTAAAGGACAGTGTCCTGGCCCTGAATTCAAGACCCAGCATGGATGATGATGAGGATGATGAGGAGGATGAGGATGAGGATGATGAGGATGATGATGATGATAGATAGATAGATAGATAGATAGATAATAAATTTATAAAAACCTAAGCCAGCATTGAGTGAGCATGGTAGTACACACCTATAACCTGAGCACTTGAGAGTCTGAGGTAGAAGGATTGAAAGTTTAAGGCCAGCCTGAGCTACATGATAAAACAAAGACAAAAATGAAAACAAAAACACAGAAGTTGGAGGCAAGGCTCAGTTGGTAAAGCACTAGACAGTAAGTGAAAGCATCAGGTACTAAGTTCAAGTCTTAGTCTCAGACAAAAGAAAGCAAACAAAAAACTCAAGGCAAGCTAGGTGAGTCATCACACCTGTAATCCTAGCTACTCAAGGCAGCAAGCTAACTAAAGGGCAACTATTAAATGTCCTATCAAAAGGGAGTTGATAGGGGCTGGGAAGGTGGCTCAGTGTAGTGTTGCCTTGCATGCATGAGGCCTTGGGTTCGATTCCTCAGCACCACATAAACAGAAAAAGCCAGAAGTGGCACTGTGGCTCAAGTGGTAGAGTGCTTACCTTGAGCTGAAAAGCTGAGGGACAGTGCCCAGGCCCAGAGTTCAGGCCCCACGACTGACAAAAAAAAAAAAAAAATGGGGGAAGGTGATATTAGATCCCTGTGGCTTCAGGCTGAGAATAAGGGTTGAGGTTCACTAGCAGAAGCTAGGAGAGGCAAGGAAGGAGTCAGCCCAGAATCTCAGAGGGGTCATGGCACCACAACTTTATACCAGCCTCCAGATCTGTAAGAGAAGTATCGTAGGTTGTTCTGCATCTCCTGTTGGTGTTACTAGAGCAATACTAAAAAACACATTTACTCTTCTGATCAGTACTGGTCATATCCTCACGTCTGAACAACTCTCCTTCTGTCAACCAACCATCCACATTGTTGCTTTTCCTGACTCCCAGCAGCCTAATCTCTCCACCCTATTGTCCTTTACCTTCTCTCAAACACTGTCACCACAAAGAGCCTCTGAAAAAAGTCAACTCTGTGATTGAATACATGGTAATTCATCATTCAGCCAGATGTGGAGGAACCGTAGCCTGTTTTTTTCATCCCTGATTACTTACCATTTTTCACAGTAGCTTCTCCAAATTAATTTTCTCCATTTTTCTATCCAGTTGCTCCCTCTCGCCCTTGTGCCTTCAGGGTTCTGACACTACAATTCAGCTAAGCCCTCAGCATCCACCCAGTTGCGTGGCCAATAACTCCACTGTCTCATCCAATCTTTGTTTGTCCTGGTCTTTTGCCAAACAGGACTCTTCCTGGGGCTGAGTCAGCAGAAGGAGCTAGGCAAGTACAGCTGAAAGTTTCTCAGAATCTTTTCTGTTTTGGTGGTATTGGGGTTTGAAGTCAAGATCTTCCACTTTCTAGACAGGTGCTCTACCACTTAAACCACATCCCCCAGCCCTTTTTGTATAGTTATATTTCAAATAAGATCTTGCTGTCTGCTGAGGCATGCTGGATTTTGATCCTTCATTTATGCTTCCTAAATAGCCTGGGATTAACAGGCACATATCACAGAACCTAGCTTTTTATTGTTGAGATGAAGTCTCTTAAACATTTTGCTCAGGCTGTTTCTATACTGTTCACCGCCTCCCCAGTAACTGCAATTATAGCAGTGAGCCACTGGGCCTGACAGAATACCTTTGATTAAGAAAGATAATGTCACTTAAAAGTTGGTACTGTATACTGAATTTGCTAAGAAAGATGATTGGCCTAAGTAGCCACAAGACCTATCCATCTTGGGGCTGGGGGTTTGGCTCAGCGGAAGGGCACCCACCTGGTGCACACAAGGCCCTGGGTTCAGTCCTCAGCCCTGGGGAAAAAAAAAAAAAAGAGCTATCCATCTGGCTGGCTGCCTTGGGAACTGATCTCCTCCCTTGCACTGGCCTTCACCTTACCAAGTCAGCACTTACTAAAGCAGTGCCACACCGTGATCTGATCATGTTTTTGGCCTCAGCTCCAGGGTCTCCATGTTAGGGGAGATCTCTCCATACCAGAAGTCCCTGGATTTCACCTCCCTCCACAAACCTGCTCTTCTGAGTCTGCTCCTTACCCTCCCTGTCATCTACACCCTTAGCTCCTTTTCTTGGAGGTGATCATCAGCCTCCTTCCCCACTCAGAATATTGGAAAGTACAGTAAAGATACACAATGTGAGTCCATCATAATTGCATTTTAATTATTGTAAAGGTGAGCTAAACGTGGCATTGGAAAATCAGGCGATACTATCCCATGTTTTCATACTATATAATGAGTTCTGCCTAGGAGAAGCATTCCATATAACAACAGAAAGGACTGAGGAAGGTGTGTGTGTGTATGTGTGTGTGTGTGTGTGTGTGTGTGTGTGTGTGTGTGTGTGTGTGTGTGTGATACAGGACATCGTCCCTTAGCTTTTTTGCTCAAGGTTTGCTCTCTACCATTTGAACCACACCTCCACTTTCAGCTTTTTGATGGTTAGTCTCATTTTTTTAAATGCAGAGTTGCTTTTGAACTATGATCCTTAGATCTCAGCCTCCTGATTAGCTAAGATTACAGGCATGAGCCACTAGTACCAGCTGAGGAGAGTTTTACTCCAGAGAGCTCTGAAAGGAGGTGATTTGGAAGTGCCTAGTGGCTAGCATAAGACTTTCAGGAGCTGGCTGAAGTCCATCTTCCCATGACGAACCTCCCGGGAGCTAGTGGCAGGTTCTAGAACATGGCAGGAATTCAAGAGAGCTTTGTGGTATGGAAATGTTTGTATCAATCTATCTGAACGTGGTTGTGGAGTTCTAGCAAATAAATGAATGGGTACATCTTTCTATTTATGACTTTTTCTTAGAAAACTTCAAATTTAAGTCAAGATTTGAATTTGCTCTTCATTTAGCACTTTGACTCCAAAGTCAGGAGATATCAGTATCCAACTTTAATATCTCCTTTAATTCTTCATCCACTCACTCAATATTTAATAATTAGGATGTGTATATATACAGTCCTATGCATCTATGCATTTTGGGGCAAGGAGGACACAAATTTGAATCAGTGTAATCTCTATCTCTAAAATGCCTTAGTCTAATGAAGGAGTTGATAAATAGTACAATATAAAAGGCACAAGAGGAGAAGCCTGTGTAGCGCATTAGAGGAGCCCAGAGAAGGGCATCAGTGTTAAGGGCAGTAAGGACTGGGCACAAGTGGCTCATGCATGTAATCTTAGCTTCTCAGGAAGCTAAGATCTGAGACTTTGATCCCAAAGCACTATACACCCTGGAGAGATGCAATTTTCCTTTGTTTAGATATCAATAAAGCTGGAGGGGAAAAAAAACTTGATGTGAAAATTCAAAGCACCAAGAATAAGCAAGACATTGTGAAGAAGATTAACCTGAAAACACTATCAGTTAGGACAGGTGTGGGGAACAGCAGCTACAAAGCCCAAGGAATCCTTTGCAATGGCCCCGCCAAGGCAGCCACAGGCAGGGTTCAGAAGCAATACATCTAGGCTCTTTTCATAGCAAGATACATTTATATTAAGTGAATCATCATAATAATGTAAATTATTATTACAGATAAGTAACAATTCAATACAGAATTAGAAGCCAGATACTAGTGGCTCAAGCCTATAATCCTAGATAATCGTAGCTACTCGGGAAGCTGAGATCTGAAGATTGTAGTTCAAAGCCAGTCAAGGTTAAAAAAAAAAGCCAAGAGACTCTTGTCTCCAATTAACCAGTGAAACAGCCAGAAGTAGACCACCACTCTTAAGGAAAAAAAAAAACCTAAGCAAGACTGCAAAGCCCTGAGTTCAAGCCCCAATACTGGCACACACAAAAACCAAACACAAAATAACTCACAAACATTACAGGATATGCAGGACACAATAAATAATAGGACAGACATGTATGCTTCTCCTGTACCATGGCCCATATGCCTATATTTTGGTGACTCAGAGAACAGTTAGTTCCAGGCAGGTTGGAGGTGTACCTGTTAAGAAAGTGTTAACACACTGTGGAGAAATCGCAGGGATTTGTTGACGATGAGACAAAATGCAATGAGCTGATTCCTCAAGACGTCGATGATCTTGTCTCTGATGATTGGCGGCAATGTTGTCAACTCCTATGTTGACACAGATAAGTAACTCCAATCCAACTTTTATCCACACATCCATGATCAACAACCTCATAAAAACGGCATCTCAGATGAAGATTCTAATACGCACAAGATGTACAAAAAAAGACCTCAAGCGTTAACGGTAATACAAATGTGGATATGTTCCAAATCCAAGATATAGGATTAGAACAATGATCAAAGTGAAATAATTGTATTGTCAGGAACACACACACACACACACACACACACACACACACACACACATACACTAGAATTGTTAAAACTTAAGTTTTTAAGTTTTTTTATTGTAAAGGTGATTACAGAGGTGTTACAGTTATATAAGTCAGGTAATCCATACATTTCCTTTTGAACAGTGTCACCAACTCTCTCATTTTCTCCCAATTTTTACTCTTCTCTGCCCCCCCCCCCCAGTTGTATAGGTCATTTCCAACATAGTGTCTAGTATCTCTGCTGAATTGGTTCCCCCTTTGTCCCACCATTTCTGTGATGACAGACTACAAATAGTAACTACAAAGAAAAGCTGATGCTTTTTTTTGTCATTAGTGGGGTTTGAAGTCAGAGGCTCACACTTGTTTGTTTTGTTCACTTGGCTGGTGCTCTACCATTGAAGCCATGTCTCCATCCTTACTTTTTGCTTTATTTTAAAGTTGGAGTCTCAGCTTCCTTGAGAGGACAGGATTATGGGTGGGAGCCACTGGTGACCAGCACAATTTTTTTTCAAATAGTAGTCCATCTGTTAATGATCTATATGGGGATAACAGACCTTACCTCCTGTCTCATCATTAGTAAAAAGCAGTCTATGAATTGCAGTTCTGTGAATGGCCAGGTCAACCACAAAGGAAAGAAGCCAGTAAGCTGGATTGTGTGTGGGAAGGAGTGGGTGCTGAGAATAGAACCAGGGCCTCAGATAAATGTTCTCTGCCATAGTGCTATCTCCCCAGCCTCACCAGACTATTTTAATACTTCATTTAATGCTTGCTTATAACACCATAAATTCATTTGTCTGGAAATCTAAAACAAGGTGTTGATGTTTCTTTCTCTTGATGTCACTCTCCTTGGCTGACACCTTTCTCCCTGTCTTCATTTGACCTTTTCTCTGTGTGCCCCTTCTTTTTTCCACTCCTCTCCTCTCCTCTCTTCTTTTCTCTCCTCTCTCCTCTCCTTTCTTCTCCCATATCCTCAATCTCTCTTTCTGTGTTAGCACTGAGGCTTGAACTCAGGGCCTGGACATTGTCCTTTAGTGTTTTCTGCTCCAGGCTGATGCTCTACTATTTGAGTCAAAATCTCCACTTACAGCTTTTTGATTAACTGAAGATACGAGTCTTGTGGGCTTCCATGCCTGGGCTGGCTTTGAACCACAATCCTCAAATCACAGCCTCCTTAGTAGCTAGCTTAAAAGGATACAAGTCAGGTTGGAGTCATTCTGTTTGGCATATTTCATTTAATAAGATTCTCTGATTTTATTACAACTGACTATTACAATGTCAATGAGATGATGGGCCTCAAGTGCTCTTCTCAGGTAAGAAAGATGTCAAGTGTTGAGCTGGGCACCAGTGGCTCATGCCTGTAATCCTCAGAACTCAGGAGGCTGAAATTTGAGAATCATAGTTTGAAGCAAGCCCAGGCAGGAAAGTCCATGAGACTATTATCTCCAATTAACTACAAAAAGCCAGAAGTGGAGCTGTGACTCAAATGATAGAGCACCAGCCATGAGTGAAAAGCTAAGAGACAGTACCTAGGCCTGATATTCAGCCCCAATATTAGCACAAAGAGAAAGGAAGGAAGGAAGTAAAGAAGGAAGGAAGGAAGGAAGGAAGGAAGGAAGGAAGGAAGGAAGGAAGGAAGAAAGGAAGGAAGGAAGGAAGCAAGGAAGGAAGGAAGGAAGGAAGGAAAAGAGGGAGGGAGGGAGGGAGGCAGGGAGGAAGGGAGGCAGGGAGGCAGGGAGGAAGGGAGGAAGGAAGGAAGGGAGGAAGGAAGGAAGGAAGGAAGGAAGGAAGGAAGGAAGGGAAAGAAGTCCAGAGAAGGAGAAGGAAGAAAGAAAGAAAATAAAGAAAGAGGGAAAAAAAGAGGGAAATAGAATGAAAGAAAAAGGAGAGAAAGTGTCCATAGGAAGAGAGAAAGAAAGGAGAGAAAGAAGAGAGAGTACAGAGAAAGAGAGAAGAAAGAAAAAAAGAAAAGAAGAAATAAAGAAAGAAAGAAAAAGAGATAGAACAAAGGAAGAAAGAACAAAAGAAGAAAGAGACAAAGGAAGAAAGGAAAGAAGGGAGAAACAAGTTGTCAACTTTTCAATTTTTTGATGGTTCGTAGGTAGGTTAGCTTGGTTTGAGTTAGCTTGCTTTGATCACGCATCATAGTGTCCAAATTATAGCACCACTTTGTGCTCTGTAACCAGGGACAAGGGTAATTCACCAACATGTAACATACACTTGGTAAAAACACCACCATTTCAGGAAAGGTTTCAGACCTTTCTTTTGAGAAACATCACTATAAGCACAGACTGGCATTATGTTGGTGGTGGTGGTGGTTGTGGGGCCTGAACTCTGGTCCTGGGCACTGTCCCTTAGCTCTTCAGCTCAAGGCTAGTGCTCTACCACTTTAGCCACAGTGCCACTTCCTGTTTTTTCTGCTTATAGGGTTCTGAGGAATTGAACCCAGGGCCTCATGCATGCAAGGCAAGCACTCTACCTCTGAGCCACCTTCCCAGCCCTAGACTGGCACTTTTAAGAGGAATTCCCCAAATGATTTTTCCACAAAATGTAATAGTTCCCAAGAGTACCGGCAATCTAAGAGTAGGTGACCTACCTAAACAATACAAACACTGGAAACAGCTGCAGGATAAAAATAAGAATAAACTCTGCTTGTGGGTTAAGCAAAAGGCTTTGAGAAGTGTGAACTTGATACTGAATGTCATCAAAGGTTCTGTGAAAAGAAGTATACTAGCATTGAGGAAGCAAGAGTTAGACATTGCATTCTTATATAAAAATTACTGGGTCAAAAATGCTGACATTAAAGCCAGGTGCTAGTGGCTCATGCTATAATCCTAGCTACTCAGAGACTGAGATATAAGGATTGAGACTCAAGCCAGCCCAGGCAAATAAATTTAAGAGACTCTTATCTCCAGTTAACAAGAAACAAACCAAAAAGTGGAATGTGGTTCCAGTGTTAGCCTGGAGAGAAAAAGCCAAGCAAGAGTGCAAAGCTCTGAGTTCAAGCCCCAGAACCAACACACAAATCCACACACATCACACACAGAGGCAGAACTTCTAGAATTGTAACTCTAAGGATTAGTGAGATGAGGTTCTTCAGCATCTAATAAAGTCTCATAGACATTTTTGTTGGAAATAAATACACTTGTACCTGAAAGATCACTGCAAATATCTTAATAGTAGATATTAGACATATTTGCTAAGCCTAAAAATAGAAGAATGACTAAATCATGTTATAGTCATAACATGGAATACCATTCAGCCTTGAAAAATTGTATCTTCAAAATATTAATCAGGTGAGCCACTACACACTTGTACTCTCAGGGCTCATGAGGCAGAGACAGGAGGATCCAAATGTTAAGGATCAGCCTGAACTACACGATAAAACTCATTACAAAAAAAGAAAAAGAAAAATAGAAGGCAGAAATGACAATTATTATATTGTTATTGTTATGTTATTATAATGTTAAATTAAAAGGGCACAAAACTATTACATAGTGTCTAATAATTATAATATTTTATAATAATTATAATAAATTATAATTTTAAGTCCTGATATGCACAGAAAAGTGGGAAAAAATATAACACCACCAACATAAGCCAACTCAAGAGCAGAGAGCATACATATACAAGTCTATGTGCAGGGAGTAATACTTCACATAAAAAAAAAAGTATTTCCAGAACTGGGTGCAAGAACTCACACCTCTATCCTAGCTATTCAGGAGGCTGAGAGCTGAAGATCACAGTTTGAGGCTAGATGTGAGGATAAGGGAAGTCTGTGAGATTCTTATCTGCAATTAAACACACACACATTCACACACACACACACACACACACACACCCAGAAGTGGTGCTGTGGCTCATATGGTAGAACACTAGCCTTGAGCAAATAAAACCCAGGCCTTGAGTTTAAGCCCTAAGACTGGCAGGAAGAAAAGAAAAGAGCAGAAAAGAAAAGAATGGGAAAGGTGGAAGTGGAGGTGTGGCTCAAGTGGTAGATTAATAGACTAATATCCTTTAGTGAAAAAGCTAAAGGACAATGCTTTGGCCCTGAGTTTAAACTCCAGTACTGGCATACACACACATATACACAACACACACACATACACACACACACCTGCCACAAATGTAGAACAGAAGGTACTGTAAGGTATGAACAAGGAAACAAAATAATAGGCAACAGAAAAACAAAATTTAAAAAACAAAAGCAATATACAAGGGGACTTGTATATAACTAATGTTAGCTAATTAAACAAACCAAAAAAAGTAATGGACATGAAGTTACTGTCTTCCAAGGATTAAAGCAGAAGGACTTCCATAGTTGACTCACAAAGACTGGTATCCTCTTATTTTCAGGACGAACTGGTCTGTTTGCTGTTCTTCCTGCTTCCTTGAAGTTCCAGTTTGATTGTGTGATATTTAGCTTGAGTGACTCCACTGTGGTTTGGTTTGGTGTGTTTTGGCCTAGTGCAGGAGATCATTCCAAACCAATGGCCTCTCATAGTTCCTATTGACTGTAATTCTAAATGATGCATTTCAAATGGTAGTACTATAAGTAATCACTGTTTGTATTTAATAAATGCTTATTCCAGGGCACTCTTCGAAACCACCTTGTAGAACTAGGAACTTTTTTTTTTTCCATTTCACAGAAACTGAAGGACAAAAAAAGGTAAAGTAACTACAAACCAGGCACTGGTAGCTCACACCTATCATCCTAGCTACTTAGGAGACTGAGATCTGAGGATGGCAGTTCAAAACCAGCCCAGGCAAAAAAATCCATGAGAGTCTTATCTCCAATTAATCACCAAAAAGCCAGAAGTGATGCTGATATACCAGAAGTGGTATATCACTAACAGCAAGAAAAACTCCGGGACAATGCCCAGACTCTGAGTTCAAGCCTCAGGATGGGCACAAAAAAAAAAAAAAAAAAAAAAGGAACTACATCAACAAAATGAATAACAAAAATTGCCTGGCAGAAATAGAAAATTAAAAAACTGGCAGAGGTAGAGGGCCAGAGACAAAATTGCCATTGCAAGCCAGGTCGAGACTCAGGCCTGTAATCCTAGCTATTGAGGAGGCTGAGATCTGAGGTCCGCCGTTCAAAGCCAGCCTGGGCAGGAAAGTCCATGGAACTCTTATCTCCAATTAGCCACCAGAAAACCAGAAGTAGTGCTGTGGCTCAAGGAGTAGAGTGCCAGCCCTGAGCTGAAGGACAGAGGCCAGAGTTCAATCCCCACGACCGACCCCCCACCCAAAAAAATGCAATTGCAGATGTCAAATGTACACCCCTAGCTCTCACTGGCTTTGAAGACACCCCTCCACAGATTAGGATAGACCACTGCAGTAGCCTTAACTCCACCCCAGAAGGAGGCTTGCCTAGTACTTTCTTACCATTATTTACTCTGTGTGCGTGAGAGAGAGGGGAGAGGGGGGAGAGGGAGAGAAGCATGTGCCACGCACACAAGGGTGCGGGGCTTGGGGCTTGAACTCAGGCCTCGGTGCTGTCCCTTAGCTTTTTCACTCTGCCACTCCACTTCCAGCTGTTTTGATGATCAATCGGAGGGTGTCGGGCACTTTCCTGCCCAGGCTGGCTTTGATGCGGGATCCTCAGGATCTCAGCCTCCGGAGTAGCTAGGAGTTTAAAGGAAGCCACGAGAGGCTGATTCTTCACCCGAGGACCAGGCTGCCTAGAGTAACTTCTTTTATTGTCGCCAGCACTGGGGTTTGAACCTGGGGCTCTGAGGGGGCTAATCCGGTGCTCCACGCGACTTGAGCCACCCCCTCAGTCCAGCTGTTCGTTCACGCGTTAGCGATGGAATCTCGAGAACTTCCCTGGCACTGTTGGCTTCCAATGGAGATCTCCCGCCCCTCGGGGGTGGGGGTGGGGGGCGGGCTCCGGAGGGAGGGGGAGAGCCGGGCGGGGCGGGGCGCGCGCTTATGACGCAAGAGGCAACGGAAGCCATGGGAACCGCGACCCTCAGCCAGATCCGGCGAGCGGCCCGGGTCGGAGGGAGCGCTGACTTCCGGCCGGCGGGTCCCAGCGAGGAGCGGGGAAGGCGTCGCAGCCGCCTCCAGAGAGCAATTTCAATCTCACCCCATCTTGGGGGCTGTTAGCGCCATGCCAAAAAATAAAGGCAAGGGAGGCAAAAACAGGCGCCGAGGCAAGAACGAGAATGAATCGGAGAAAAGAGAGTTGGTGTTTAAAGAGGATGGACAGGAATACGCGCAAGTAATCAAGATGTTGGGAAATGGACGACTAGAAGCAATGTGCTTTGATGGTGTGCGGAGGTTATGCCATATCAGGGGAAAGCTGAGGAAAAAGGTTTGGATAAATACCTCAGACATTATCTTGGTTGGCCTACGAGATTATCAAGACAACAAAGCCGATGTGATTTTAAAGTATAATGCAGATGAAGCTAGAAGTCTGAAGGCGTATGGAGAGCTGCCAGAACATGCCAAAATCAATGAAACTGACACGTTTGGTCCTGGAGATGATGACGAAATCCAGTTTGATGATATCGGGGATGATGATGAAGACATTGATGATATCTAAGCCAAACTCAACGAGTTATATTCCAAGTTTTCCAAGGATTGTTCTACGGTTGTGATCTTGGCCATCAGCTGTTACTAGTAAAATTTTGTTTAACATAAATATAGCTTGTTGAAACATTGATTTATTTTTATTAAAAAACAGTTTTAATATTTCTGAAAAATGTTGATGCTGAGTTATCTTCACTAACGTATTGACAGTTCTTGAGATCAAATAGAATTTATCAAACACAGATATTCACTTTAAAAAATAAATAACTTCCACATCTTATCCTCCTGAGTCACAAAGTGAGCCACCAGTGTCTGAGCTCCTAAATTAATTTTATGTGATTTGAATAATTTTTAAAATTACTATAGCCCGAAGTAAACTATTATTGGCAATTATTAGAGATAACTCTAAAGGAAAAAATAATTTAAAGTCCTCTGGGGATTAAATCTTTTAAGCCTCTGTTTTGATATCCAAAGAGGCCATTATAAGTTAAGGTCTTCTTGATCCTCAGGAACTGTTTGCCCCAATGTTCCTAGTTGCTGGCATCACCTCGTCAAGTGTTGAGTGGTCTAAAATCTAAGGCTTATTGCAGTTCTAGCAGGGAGAAATGCTTTCCCTGGATGTTCTTACTCTGAAGGCAGGAGCTGCCACTGTCTATGGAGCATAGTGATTAAGGAGACTGATTAAAGGATACTTTCAGGACTTCTAGTACATGAGAGCTTCAGAGGAGAACCCCTAGTTCTAGGAGAACCCTAGAAATTACAGTAGCAATGCTCATCTTTACTTTGTCTGCTTCTATCTTTTTTTTATTGAGGCACAGAAGAAAACCAAAAAGAGTATCATTAGTATTCCTGACAATCTTTCCTTAGATGTATATTAAGATATTGAAATTTTAAGAGGAAAAACAAAGGTCTAAATTTAACATATTGGAATCTCCTAGAGTTGCCTAAGACTCCAGTTACATCTTTAATAGTCTGGGTAATAAAATAAGCCCTTTGGGCACAAGCCACTAGTGGCAGGCCAATTCCAAGTGAGGTAGACAAGAAAAGAAGGGTAGAGGAAGGACTCAGAAGAGCATGCAGCAAGTTGTGGGAACAACAGGAGCTGGCTGCTGATCTCTGGATGATTTTTTCCAGGAGTAAACATGGATGTTCCAGCTTCTGTGTCCTTTGTGGCCCAGAATGAGCCACAATGAAACATTTGGAGTCACAACTTTAAGAACTCTAAGGTGTCAATTTATAAAACAACTGGGAGTTGAAGGAACTACTTGCTTCAATCAAGCAATTTCAGTTGTGGCAGATTGCTTCTCTTTGAGTAGGAAAAACCAGAACCAGAACTACTGATCAAACACCAGACAGAATCCAGAGGAGCAAGAATGACAAAGGCGCTGAGCTGATCTTCCATGGGATGGGACATGAAAATGTAGATGCTAAGTTCATCAGGGTGATTTCAAATTTGCAAACACCTGAGAGCCAGGCACCTATGGCTTACACCTGTAACCCTAACTCTTTAGGCGGCTGAGATCTGAGGACTGAGATTTAAAGCCAGCCTGAGCAGAAAACAAGATTTTTCTTTCTAACTAACAATAGAAGCCATAAGTGTAGGTGTAGCTCAACTGGCAAAGCATCAAAGCCTTGAGTGGTCTAAGGGTCAGTGCTCAGACCGCGAGTTCAAGCTACTGTACACACACACACACACACACACACACACACACACACACAAAGGGGGGGGGCGGAAGGAAGGAAGGAAAAAAGGAAGGGAGAAGGAAGGAAGAAAGGGGGAAAAAAAACATTTTAAACATTTTAAGCAGAGTTAGCCAGGATCATACATAATAAGAAGAAAAGGCTACCTCAGTCAAAATTTTTCTCATGTGCCTCAGCCTGCAATTCATGTGACCCCAGAGGTCAAAATGAAGTTTTTCTCAGTCTGAATGGAGATCAACAAATAGTCCTATTGCTATTGAGTCTATATCTAAACCTGCTATGAAATAAGCTTACCATGAATTATTTTGCCCAGTTCATCAAGTTTCTTCCTTCTAAGGAGTCAATGTCTAGAGGAAGCTGCACTTTCTGTAGAAGTTAGAGATGAGATTCTTCATAATGCAAAGGACATTTTCACTTCAGATAAAGGCAGCAGAAAGCCCAAACTCAGAGATGGAATCAGAACTATGCATTGTTTAGCAGTAGTCTCTTCTGATGTCTCTTCTGGTGTGTATTCTCAAAGGGTGACTGTGTCTTGTCAACACGGATTCAGGTAAGAACATTGTTTCCTTAAATTTACACTAATAAAAAGGTACCTTTTGCTCTTAGGGATCTAGAATCAGTAAATTATTTATAAATCCTGTCAAAATGACTTTTCAAGCCTAACAAGTCAAAATAAGACTTCTGATTGATACCCAAAAAGGAAATCTGATCCTGTTAACTGCAGACATTTATTATGGACAAGATAAAAAGGAAATGAGTAGCCAGAATAGAAAGCACTGAATATTTAAAAAACCAGCTCCAGGGGCTGGGAAGGTGGCTCAGTGGTAGAGTACTTGCCTTGCATGCCTGAGGCCCTGGGTTCGATTCCTCAGCGCCACATAAGCAAAAAGAAAAAAGCCAGAAGTGGCTCTGTGGCTCAAGTGATAGAGCACTAGCCTTGAGCTGAAGAGCTGAGGAACAGCACCCAGGCCCAGAGTTCAGGCCCTACGACTGGACAAAAAAAAAAAAAAAAACAGATCCACTGAAAGGATTGCCTCTTGAAACAAAGGCTATTGTCCAAACCTCAGTTCACCCATCCAGAGACATTGTGTCCATTATTATGAGTCGTGCCTAATCCTGTGAAAACTAAAGAGAGGAAGCAAGTGTTCTGGACTCCCTTGCAGCTAGGGTTCTACATTAACATACATCTGTCCACCTCCAAGAATTCTGAAGGGTAGACGTGAGGGTAGGCCAGCTGTTCATCCTATGATAGTAAGTAATGTTACCAACCATTAGATTTTACAGTGATATTGATAACACTTCCCTGTCAGGAAGTAGCCTAGAAATATTCTTGACTTTGCTCATTGAAACCCCTCCACAAACTATCATAGGTTAGCTTTTTGTTTTTTTTGGGTCCAGTTGTGGGGCCTAAACTCTGGGCCTGGGCACTGCCCCTCAGCTCTTCAGCTCAAGGCTAGCACTTGAGCCACAGCGCCACTTCCGGCTTTTTTTCTTTTTGCTTATGTGGCGCTGAGGAATCGAACCCAGGGCCTCATGCATGCAAGGCAAGCGCTCTACCACTGAGACACCTTCCTAGCCCTCTATAGGTTAGTTTTGAACTATTTTTGTTGGACTAAGGCTTGAACCTTGGGCCTTGCACATACTAGGTAACTATGAACTTTAAATAAATGGGATCACACAATTTGAAAAAATGGAAGGGAAAGGAAAGGAGGAGAGCAAGAGAAGACATTTAATAAAATCACATCTTTGGGCCCCTTACTTTTTGCTAAACATTTGAATTCATTTAATCTAATTTGAGCTCTTGCCTCTTATCTTATAAATTTAGACTCCCTAACTTTGACAATTAACAAGAAAGGAGTGTAGGCTGGGTATTGGTAGCTCGCGTCTATAATCCTAGCTACTCAGGAGGCTGAGATCTGAGGATCCCCAGTTCAAAGCCAGCCGGGGCAGAAAAGTCTGTGAGACTCTTCAATAACCACTCAGAAAACCGGAAGTGGTGCGCTGTGGCTCAAGTGGTAGAGTGCTCACCTTGAGCTAAAGAGGGATAGTGCCCAGGCTCAGCGTTCAAGCCCCATGACTGACAAAAAAAGAAAAAGAAAGAAAGAAAGAAAGGAGAGTAAGATAAAGAAAAACTGAGGTTTAAGATCTTCTGTGATTTACATAAGAATGAAAAGCTTGAAGTCTTTTTTTATTACCCTCTAGGGAGAATTCTAGATAAACAGTCTATTTGTAACCTGTGACTAAAAGCTTTATCTGAAAATGCACTCTAAATGTAATTGTGGTTTTCTCTGTGTTTAGTCTATTAAGTATTGAACAAAATGTAATCTGCCCTTAGAATTCCAGAAAACAACTACCTATATATATATAGAGAGAGAGAGAGGAGAGAGGATTTTATGCATGCCTAAATTGGCACGCCTGATTTAAAACTTTCTTGCTTATCAGTATCTGTCTGTGTATGTGTGGCTATCTTTAGGATAACTCTTGCAATTGTAGAATAAAGGGGCTATTGTCTCTTGTTTCTTCCCTGCCCCCTTCCTTTTTTTAATCTTCTGCTATTTATTCTAAAATGTTACACAAAAATTCTTATCTTAGCCCTAAATAAAATACAAACATGAAGGAGTTAACTTTCAAATACTTAGAACTAAAGGAAAGATCATTTTTAAACCAAGCCATATGAAACTGCCTAATTCGATGTGGATAAGTGATCTTAATCTGTTTTATTCTGTTAAAATTTAGTTTTAGCTTTCTTTTACAGTATATTTGGGTCTACTAACTAATGTAATTTGTGAACTGTTAACACTGTTGAAGATTACTTTCCTCCTGGAAAGTAATTCTAATTAACATTTGCAATTCTATATGCGAACGTAGGTAAAAATTTTATATACTGGTCAGAAATCTGTGGTTCACCTCTATAATCAAATCTATTCAGGAAGCTGAGTTCTGAAGATTATCATTCAAAGCTAGGCTGAGGAGAAAAAGCCACAAGACTCTATCTCCAACTACTCAGAAAAAAAAAAAAAAAAAACACCCAGACCAAAGGTGTGTCAAGGGGTAGGGCACCAGCCATGAGGAAGAGCATGAGGTCCTGAGTTCAAGCCTCTGGTATTAGGCACACACACACAAAATAATATATGATACAAAACTAAAAATTCATTCTCTATATATATATTTATATTAAAAATTATATATGGATAATTTTTGTACTGGTCCGGGGGCTTAAACTCAAGGCTTGAGCACTGTCCCTGACATATAAAATTGTCAATAAAACCTGTAGCATTTCTGCTGTTTGTAATCAGTATACTTCCAATGGGAAAAGCATGCCATTTGTACTGTCCTGCTATTTAACATATGGCCAGTCAGTGTCTTGAATAAAATTAGCATTATTGTATATATGAGATGCACTTGCAAGGATAATTAGAAATATCCAAACATTACACTCCAAGCAATACCATTCTAAAGAGCAGGCAGCCATCTAGAAATTGCATCTGTAAACAAGCACATTCTTCCTTGCTTACACTTTTTATCCTTTTTTTTTTTTTCTGATGGTACTGGGGTTTGAATTTGGGGCTTCACACTTGCTAGCCATATGTGCTATCACTGAGGGATAGCTCCAGTCCTTTTTTTCTTTTTCTTTTTTCTTTTTTTTGGTTGGTCATGAGCCCTGAACTCTGGAGCTAGGCACTGTCCCTGAGCTCTTCAGTTCTACCACTTGAGCCACAGCACCACTTCCAGCTTTTTCTGCTTATGTGGTGTCAAGGAATTGAACCCAGGGCCTCATGCATGCAAGGCAAGCATTCTACCACTGTGCCACCTTTCCAGCTCCAGTCCTTTTGTTTTGAGATTGTCTCAAAAATAATTTGGGGGGGGGGGAAGGCGGAGATGGAAAGGGATGGAAGGGGAAACAAAGGAGGAGGCAACAGTGCTTGATAAGAAATGTACTCATGGGCACATGAGTACACAGCACCACATAAGCAAAAAGAAAAAGCCAAAAGTGGCGCTGTGGCTCAAGTGGTAGAGCGCTAGCCTTGAGCTGAAGAGCTGAGGAACAGCGCCCAGGCCCAGAGTTCAGGCCCCATGACTAGACCCCCCCCCCCCCAAAAAAAAGAAATGTACTCATTACCTTGCCCATGTAATTGTAACCCCTCTGTATGGTATTTTCACAATAAAAAATAATAATAATTTCTCTAGGCACCACTATCCTCCTGTTTTTCGCTCCCCACCATTGCTCTGATGATCACTGCCTGCCACCACATTTCTTCTGTTGAAGTGAAGTCTAGCAGAGCAGACTTTTCTGTGTAGTTTGGCTTGGAACAGTAATCCTCCTGATCTCAGCCTCCTGGTAGCTGGGATAACATGAATGTACCATTGCACTCAGCTATTGGTTGAGAAGAAACTTTGGGAGCATTTTGCTTTGGCTGGCCTGGCATCAGCTGCCAGGGACTTTGAGTCCCTGGTGCCCAACTATTCTTAAAAAGAAAATTAAATGATGAATTATATATAAAAGTAACCTGCATATATATATATATATATATATATAATACTAAGTCATAACTGAGTAGATACATATAAATACAATATATAACATGTATATATATAACATACATGTTATATATTGTATTTATACTGTATCATACATATAATACAATAATATATATTGTACAACATAATATAATATATACTATTATATTAGAATGAATTATTGTATCACATAAAAAAGATGATCTAGTATACATAATACAATACAAAAATATATACATTTTATATTATATATCGTATTATATATAATACAATAGGTCATTTTATATATAATAGGTCATTCTTTATATTGATATTTAAAAGGTGTCTTTAAGAGGATAAGGAAAGTATGATGGTCCTGATATAATGCTGTCAATCATAATTATTCTATGAACAGCTGTATGTAATATTTTTACAATTGCTCTCGACATTTTTATTTATTTATTTTCTAGAGTTTTAATTAATTAATTTATTTATTTATTAATTTATATAGTAGGGCTTGAACTCAAGACCTAGGCCACACCATTACTTCTGATTTGGGCTGGTAATGCCCACATTGGCTTCAAACTTTCATCATCAGATCTCAGCCTCCTGAGTAGCTAGAATTAAAAGCATGGGCCACTAATGCCTAACCACATTCACATTTTTATCTTTTGAGGTCAGAATGAAGTCACTTCACCTAGTGTGGACCAAGGCAGAGAAAAGTCATTTAAAAAAAAATTCAAGATGATTGTGTCTCAGGCTAACATCAGGGTTCTGTCTCTAAGGAAGAAGGGTATGATGGGTAGATAATAGGTAGCTGGACAGACATTTACAAGAACACAGAACCTGCTCTCCAGCTGGAACTTGCTACCTGGCTGCAAGGGGAGTTTTAGCCCCCAAACTAATAAAGTGTTGCCTCGAGCCTCAGTGTGTTTACATGCAGCACTACCCTCCACCTGCCCAGTTGAACTTGAGCCTGGAGTAAGTGTTAGATAAGGTACGGGGCACTCTGAGAATCTAGTTGTGCCCTGAACCCCTGCAGCAGGGTGACTC